TAAAGTGCACTTTGTCAATGAAAAACATCACGTCTTTGAACTTGACGCACTGCCTCAGAGGGCTTTTTGATCTGGTGGAAAATAGGGGAGGGCGCAATCTCAACACGCTCATATTCACACCACTTGCAATGCACTACCTCGTGATGAATCGATAGATACCGCTTGCGGATGTGGCTGTTTTGCAAAGGAAGATTCCAAGCCAATCGATTTCGCATAACATGAAGGTGAACTGGCACCAAAGCGATCTGTGGCAGGTGGTATTGGGAGGATAATTGTAGAACCAGAAAGGTCACCCTCGGTCAGACCCTGCATGAATGCCAAGGTCGGCGTACCAGTACACACAACACACTGTCAACCAGTCGTCGGCAGTGCACGTTGCAGGCACGCCTGTAACACGCGCGAACTCACATTCTATCACAGCGATTTCAAGCACATCAAACGAACACAATTTGCACCCACTTATACAAGTCTTAATGCATTGTGGGCGGCCTTCACAAACTAGAATGGACGTTATTTCAGTTGGCTTTCATTTACACAGTGCATGAAATACTCAACTCGCAGAGGACACTTTTCGGTTTTCTAGAAATATGTGAATGTAGTCATGGATGTTTAGGGTCTAACCATCAAAATCTGATGGCTTTTTTAGCTGGACAAACTGTGCTGTTGATAAATGACTGGCGGTCTCGAGACGATCTCACAATCTACATTGGAGAAATCGGTGAGGAAGAGACGTGCTGGAGGACATTTACTTTACGCCCTCAACCCATCACGATGTCCTACCACGAAACTCGCGAGCAGTAGGGAAGCTGCGCACAACCAACAGACGAACAAGTTGGCAATTACGGTCAAGTTATCCATTCCAGTCCAAGTCACCTTGAACAACTCCTGCTTTCTCAACACACCACTGGCGTCAATCAATTGAGTGTTGTTAAGCAAACTAGCAATGCGTCGCCAACCTTGTGTCTTCGAAATGCTTCATCCATCTGCAAGCCAAGCTGTGTGTCGTTGGAAATCAGCCATTTAGAAGCAACGGCCTCCTCCATTGCGCGTTTCTGGATTGCACGACACTTCTCTTGGATTTGTTGCTCGAAGCAGCACTGGAGCATCTTCCTTCTAGAAAGGGCCACCTCAGCTGCTTTCTGCTCATCCGCTAGTCGAGCCTGTTCCAGTCGTTGCTAAAGCAATGCGGTAAGTGGAATAATTACTCAATAGACGCGCTGTCTAATCCACTGGAAAGTTCCTTGTCGACTTCTTACCATGTCTTCTGATTCCTTCATTTTCTCCTCCGCAACTGCTAATATCCTCGCCTCTCTTGCACACATTGCACTCTTCACTTCTTCATTCAAGTCCCTTTGCAATGAGAAGAAGTGAGTCGTGAACCTACCGCTTGCACCTACCTCTAGTTGTTTCCCAACCAAGACCAGGCAGGCCTGAGTCGGATTTTTCCAGACTCGCTTCTTTCTGATCCCTGTAAGCCTGTATTCGTTTGTTCAATTCGACCTGGGCATCGAGATCACGCAAGTAGAGTTCGTTCAACATGGGACGGTAGAGATCCCTACTTTCGCCTATTCGTTTCCTTCAAATAAAAAAAAATGCAATGCGTAAACTGTGCAATTTCACGTTAAACGGGGAAACAGACAACATGCAGCTAGTCGTAATGCATTTCAAGGCCTTTGGCTTTAGGTGCAACACTACTGTGCCCACAAATTGCACTGAATAATTCATTTAGTAAAGCACACGAAGACACTGCCTCAGTACAGCATATAAAATCTTATCAAAAGTACACGCTTGTGGCACTTAACATGTGTTGAATAGCTAGCCGTGATTGAGACAGGTCGGTTCATTAACGTATTCGTTTGACGGGCGAAACTACCTAGCTCAAAATGGAGAATGCTACCGCAACGAGTTTACTGACGTCGTTTCTGAAGATCATAAAACGTCAAACAAAATATGTGCGTGGGTGTGCATCCCAATCTCATTTTTGAGAACTGGGTGGCAATTAGTAATTTTGAAAAAAAAGTTGACAAACCACGGAGAAATTCAAAATAAGCAGTGTGCGAATCACCTATATCCAGTTTCTGCCATGTGCTGGCGCTCAAGCTCCCTAAGTCGTTGTATTTCTCGGATCTTACTTCTCAGGATCTCCTTCCGATGAACGCTTTGATCCCGCTTGCCTTTTGCCGAGATCATGTCTTAAAAGGCAGTTTGAAGGCAAGTTGTTGGTGCAATCCTCGTCTGAAATGTGATGGTGCCACATTCAACATGGATTCACTGGGTTGGTGTTGCTGCCTAGCTCAGCCCAAACATGCTTGTGAGTTTAACGTTACTTTCCAGTTTTCTAGCCAGTCAAGCATTCTGAATACACTCAACAACGGTGAAAGAATCGTCTCTTTATGTAAATACTGCAGTAAGCACACTGAACTGTGGGTCAGCATTTACATAGTATTTGAGCCAATTTCGACAAAACGTATTACTTGCAATTTCCAAAAACGCATCTAACGAACATCGCGCTTCCACTGTTAATGCGAGGCTGTGAACATATGACGTTTGAGGGCAAATCGCATAAATGTTGCACACTTGGGAGCGAGAGAGTCCATTTTACAGAAATCCTGTACGTGCAACACTGAGCAACTAATCGGGCATTTTAAATGTTGGCTTAGTGAGATGTATTAGGAGTCAAGAATCCATGAGCTGTCATTGTGGGTACAGTCTATAGATTACAAGCAAAATATTTACAAGAAAAATGGTTGTCCAAACTCAACGAGCAGCTTTATTGGGTACAATGAGTACTAATTGAGTGAATGGTTTGCCATCAGTTAGTCAAAATATAACCTCAATCTGACCCCATTCGCGAACATGGAAAAAATGAATAATCATGTCTCATTGATATTTGCAGCCATTGCTTCTTGCATTCACTAATAGGTCCGTTCACACCACGTGTCCTATAGTGGCTTAAGTGTCGAAGCAGGTTTGAGTACGTCAGTACAGTGAAATGGCAAAACAAATGGCCCATGCTTTATTGCTAGAAAGTGCCCAATATCCGGATAACGGCAACTCTGACACAGCTTTTTGTTCCAAAGATTATGTGAACATTTAAGAGATTACTTTACGGCAGAAATGCTTTGTTCCTCAGACATTGCAATGCATACTCCTAAAACTAAACAGAATCAATTATTTTTGCATTTTTGCTTAACACAAACTACACGCTAACACAGGATAAATTAATCTACTCCTAAAGAGTGGATCACAAACCTAGCAAACCGAACGTTGTGGGAGCCAGGAATTACTCTAAAAGCCGCTAATGATCCGTCGTTAAGATCCAGGTATTTTCAACCAATTTAAACAAACCACATCGTCGTCTTCTATCAAGAATTTTTGCAACTTTATATTGCATTCATACGCCATATCAACTTGCTTTAAAATCTATGTACAACTGAAACAAATCTCAGTAATACATTTTAAGTTTACGTAGAACTGTAATATTGGATATGGTTTTCGTTTCCGGCTCTTCCTGTGTGCTTAGTTTGTATCTAATCACGCAAAAACTATAACAAAGGTTGGCATCAAAACAGTCAAGGTAATTTAGTACACACACAGGTGTGTTAAATCGACTTGCTTCTGGTAGGGTTGACCCCGGGTGAAAGTGCAGTGCTGGTTTCTAAAGCAGTCCACAAATGTTTTTTCTGACCACAATTAGCCTTAAGTATACGGCCTATTCTAGTATTCTGTCTATGTTGAACTCAAGTTGAAAGAGTGCTAAAAACAGGAGTATTTTAATATATCTAATCACCAGTATGTCAGAAGTGGTGGGAATTGAAATACGAGGTTAATACAGGAGTAGAAGTAGGCAGTTAGCGGTGTAATTCAGTAACTTGCATTATTGCGCGATGTTATGTTTTTTACTTTATCGGTCAACATGTTCCTGCGGTACGCTTTTGAAGCGTCGAATCTACAACTGGATGGTCTGATAATTTTTAAATCGCAAGGTGCATGTTTTTGTAGTCTTTGAAGTCCATGCAACACATAAATTATTGTGCCCACTTATTTTCTAATCGCACATATTAGCTTACCTTTTTGTAAATAGTTGACACGCAAACCCTAATCGTAGATGGATTGTGATCAAATCAGTCATGTTGCTTAAGGTCAAACAAATATCAGTCAAATTTTAGATAATGGTTAATCTGAAGTTCACAGAGCGCTTTCTCGCAGTGAAGAAACTGCGATCGCAACGTGAAACTTGAGCACGTCGACTGTGTTGACCATAGATGAGAAAAGGCTGGGGTTCGATTTGCGTTATC